CCTGGACCATGTTCCAACAACATGGTGAAAGCAGGACACCTTTCCTACTTGCGTGGTCACATGACAGCCATGGGCAGCATCAGCAGGGTGCACGTCTGTCCTGCAGGCTCCTCAGCTGAGCCTGGGGGAGCTGCATTGAGCCTGAGAACTCAGTGAGTTCTTCAGCCAGCCAGCCTGCAGTAATTGCGATGTCTTATTTATGACCGATAAGTGTATGTTCTGGCTTCGTGGGTGGGCTACTAATTTGTGCTGGAATTCACTACTGGATTTGGAATTTTGTTCTATAAGAAATTGAATTTCTTTAATAGCTACAGGCTGTTCATATTTCCTGTTTCATCGTGCTTGAGTCTCTACTTACAAGTTCTGTATTTGAAGAACTATGTCCTTTAGATATAGTTTGATATCAATCCTGTTAATATTCACTTTTTTGGAGATTTTATAATTCATTTAATTAAGCTTCTCAAAGAGGTCACCACAAGAATCTACAATTGTTGGCAGACTTACAGAATATAAAGTTCAATATTACTAAAAATAATTTTATTTCTATATAGGAGCAAAGATCAATTATACTTTGAATACTTGAGAGTCCAGACTTAAAGAATATTTTATCTTTTAAGACTTTGAAGTGATTTTGTGTATGTCAGATCCATAAAGGGAGAAATATATTGTCTCTATACATGTATGAACTTGTCAGAGAAAATAAGAAGGAAAGAAAAAAGCAAACAAAACACAAAACAAATCCAACAAAGGTAGGATTCATTGTTTGATTGTGTTTTCTCCATTTTTTTCTTGTTGAAATACAAAGAAAACACAAAACTTTATAGAGAGAAGGATTTCCATTGTAAACCACGAAGAAGCAGTCAAAACTGTAATTTTGTCCTTTTGGGCACCGACTTGACATGGGATGCTCCCTGTGTGGCCTGTGTAGTGTTGACAAGCATGAGCACATTGCAGTGAGTCTGAGTCATCGCTCAGAGACTGCAGGAACAGCGGCCATCGGCGCAGGCTGAAGAAGTAGTGCTGTTCGAATAAAAGCAGCAGGGCTGTGATTGCTCAGCACAAACAGTATTAGAAATCAGCAGTGAACTCTTAGTTCTTAGTAGGTATGATTCTGTATTAGTAGGTTTGTAGGGTCCTCACAGAAGGTAACTGAAGAACATTCGTCTTTCACTAGTTCAGAATGTTAGGACCCGTTTCTTAGGTATGGTGACAGGCTCACAGTCCTAGTGTAGTAAAACAGAAAGGGGTTCTTTTGTGCCATGTAGTGACCTTTTCCATCTCTTAACAGCGTGCCTAACAGGTTCGTTTTCATGTGAGCCTTCCGGTTTTTCTATTTGCCAAGGTGTTAGAGAATGCAGCTGTTAAAAGCCTAAATCCCAGAGATTGGGCCACTTGAATCTGCTCAGACAACACTTCAGAGCATGTGATCTTCCTCAAATGCTACTTTTATTTTTATCTCTAAAATGTGTAGCTGAAGCCATAGTAGAAGAGGTAGTGTAGATGAAATACAGTTGCGCTCATAATGAGCCTACTATGGTACTTGGCACATAAAATCTTAGTATGTTCTACATTATTTCTCTCCTCTTCTTACTACTTATAAGGAGTAAGCTTGATTTAATTTTTATTGCTGGACTAAAACACCATGACTGAAAGCAACTTGGGGAGGAAAGAGTTTATTTCCTTTCACAACTCTCAGGTCACAGTCCAGCACTGAGGGAAGTCAGGGCAGGAACCCAGCCATGAAGGAATGCTACTTACCGGCTCGCTCCTCATGGTATGCTCAATCTGCTTTCTTATACATCTCAGGACATCTAGCCCAGGGTTGCCACCACCCACGGTGATCTGGGCCCTCTCATATCAATCGTTAATCAGGGAAATGCCTGACAGACTTGCCTATGGGCCAGCCTTGTGGAGGGTTTCTCTCATTTAAGATTCCCTCTTCCCAGTTATGTCTCAGTTTGTGTCAAGTTGACCAAAAAAAAAAAACAAAAAAAAAAAAAAAACCAGCACAAATATGTAAGTATTAAGACATAATTGTAGCTACATTCCAATATGTCTCGTAAAGTAGAACTGCTCACTTTTAAATCTACTTACATTTCTAAAAATTCCTAAACAGACAGAGAACTCGTCTTCTGTACAGGTACTTGCTGGCTCTTCAGCACCGTGACTGTTGGTCATGCAGACTCTGGAAACTAGCATTCAGTTCAGCTCTCAAAATCCACAAGGACGCCTTTGCTCACTGAGAAACTTGAGTTGCTCTGATACAGTAATCCTATTCCGTGTGCTGTGGAAAATTAGGTTCTGACCTCCAGCCTCCAACATGAGATTCTGAATCATAGTTTCACATCTACACCTCGCAGAAGTTATAATGTAAAACTTGTTGGTGTGTGTGATTGCTTGAGGGGTCTATCTTCAAGTATAAACTGCAGTTCAAGCCGGTCGCCACACTCCTGTAGGAGACACCGTAGTCACACTCACCAGATAACTTATGCATTTAACTTGGATCTTTGTCATGTCTTATTTCATATTTCTGTTTGGTATCTTGTTTCTCTGTCATTTGACCATTTCTAGCTCATTTTGGATAAAATTTGAATCAGTTTCTGGATTCAACCTAACTTACCTCACAAATTGCAGCCTGCATTTAATCACTGTCGGCTGTGTTTCCAGACTTGCTTTCCATCCAGCCAGTGCTTTGATAACTTCTTACCAGCCAGGTCAGTGCTAGTTCTTGTTCATGTTTAATGTGATATTTTTATTCTTAGAGAAATTCATATATTCATCTGATGTATCTTGATCATATTCATCCCCCACTCCTAATTCCTACCACCCCTTCTCTCTACCCCCTCCCACCTTTCCCTCCTCTTTGTTTAATAACCCACCGAGTCCAATGTGCACAGCCCATAGACTCCTGGTTGTGGACCATCCGCTGGACTGTGGTGAACTCACCAGAGGCCATGCCCCCAAAGACCGCTGACGCTGCCTCCTCCAGAAGCTATCAGCTGTTGGTAGCATCTCAGTTAGGGCTTGCAGGGTTCATGAGCCTCTTCCCAGTCAATATTGGAATGCGGACTGGGTTGGTCCTATGTAGCCAACCTCAGCTGCTGTGAGTCAATGAGTACAGTGGTCCCGTTGGGTCCAGAAGACATTTTTGCTCTGCTTCTCCCTGGCCTCTGACTTAGACTATGTTTATGTCTCCTCTTCTGTAATGGTCCCTGAGCCTTGGGTAGTACAGCTATCCCATTGGCTGTGTTGAGTTTCTGTGCCAACTGCCATCCACTGTGCAAAGAAACTTCTGTGAGGCAGCCTGAGAGCTGCTCTGATGTGTGGGTAAGGAGATAGGAGTTTAGAGGGCAGCTTGACAGTGTGTTCACCTAGAAAAGTAACAGTGGAGGTCCTCCCCAGGGCCTGTGAGCTCCCAGACCGTGGCTTCTGAGCCAGATTTACGGTATCAGACAAGTGTTTCCTCCTGCAGAATAGGCCTTGAATCCAATTAGGAACGGCTTAGTTACCGCATACCATCCACCCACCATGGAGAGGTCTCGCCACATCTGTCACTATCGTAGTGCACAAGGTTCACAACTGGTAAGACTGCAGATGACGCCCCAACGTCAGTGGCCTACATAGCATCCCTTGGTACTGTGAAAGCAGGACAGCAGGGAGGAAGCCTCCTGGTCAATATGGACATCATTTCTCCACGCCCTGTGGCCAGTGTGTGTGGGTCTTCAGCAACAGGCTCTTAGCAGCTTGTTCTAAGGGAGCCGAGAGCACCAGCACTGGTCTGTATTGTTTTGGCGTCTGTGCTTTTCGTTATTCCCTTTCTTCTACTTACTTTGGTTATATTTTAATCCTCTTTTAGTTTCTCAGACTTGAAATGCAGATCCTTGGTCTTAAGCCTTTCTTATTTTCCAACACAGCATATAAAGTTGTTAAGTGTCTTTAAACCAATGGTGTAAGTGCATCCTGCAAATTACCTAAATGTTTTTATGTGACAGTTGCTATAAACTGTAAATAATGTATATCAGCTTAAGCTATATACAAATGAAGTGAGTCCATCACCTCGCTCAAGGTCCTGCCTCCATCCAGCTCCACCAAAAACTTACTCCAGTCACTAGTGAGTGGCAGCCACTCACTAGCTCTCTGTCACGCCAGCTTGCTTTGCATCATCTAGACTTCAGTTAAGTAGAACTGAAGCCACATGTACCTTTTGTCTGAGCGTCTATGCAGCCCACATTGCGATTCACTCATATCGTAGCAAGAACTTTTTCCCTCTGGCCTTTGCAGCGCTGAGCATTGCTTGTGCTCCCATCGGCACCATTACCAGCAAGGCTCTGTAGCTTTGTAGTTTCGCACCACTTGATTAAAACCAATTTGGAGGTGAGGGTGATGGCTCCATTGGTAAAGTACGTCACATGTAAGCATAGGTACCTTCGTCCAGCTCCCCCACACCCACATAAAAACCCAGGTGCCTGCTCACCCACCTGTGATCTCGGCTCTGGGGAGGAAGAAGTCGGTGGACCCAGGGAGTACACGAGCCAGCCAGCCTAGTCAGCCGGTGAACTCCAGGGATAGTGAGCGACCTTGTCTCTAAATAAGGAGATGTGACTGAAGACATTCCATGCCCTCTGGCCTCCGTACACACACACATCCGCATACATCTAATCGCATGAATACACACACAAAAAGTTTTTGGACTATCATTCTAGTTGTCTTACGCTCACCATACTTTCATGTTGCCTGATTATTGACTTTTTGATCTCCAGAATTTTTTTCCCATAAAATTCTATTCACTGTTCCCCTGAAAGTCGCTTGGGTTTTTTTGTTTGTTTGTTTTGTTTTGTTTTTGTGTTTTTGTTCTTCTTTTTTCTTTTCTTTTTTTTTTTCCTTCATTGCTGTTGTTGTCTTAAGCTCAGCTATACTCATTTAGTTGAATTTTTTGGAATGTGAGTCAAATATAGTTTAACTATATCTAAAAAGTTATTGAAATGTTTTTCCTTTCCCAGGTAAAAATTTCTCCATCATATCATCAGTCCAGAGGAGATCCTCCTGCCAGGAAGGTGAGTCTTAAAAGCAACTGGTCCAAAGACCTACCTCTTACATATTCTGCTCCATGGTCAGCCCTCTAAATAGCAGTGGTGTTAACTTATGCTAATGTTCTCAGGCCTTTTCTGACTGGATGCTTTAATGTGCTGTTAGGATTCCTTGCCTCTCCTAGAGCAGCCACATGGGATTTCAGACCCAGCTGTCGGTCTCCTGGCAGCTAAGAACTGTAAGCATTGTGGAGCTAGCGTCGCAGTCTTCCTCACGGAAGACAGTAGCAGATGAAAAGCATTCTGAGGGAAAGCTGTCTAGTTTTCTCAGTGACCTGTTTTCCCTGCAAAGTAAACTGTAGAGACACTGCTTTTCAGCACATGCCACATGAAGGGTTGTCAGTAGATGCAGCACGAGGCCTGCCTGCTGTGTCACTGTTTCTGCCTGTAAACCCTAAGGCTCAGAGGAGCAATGAGTCTTCGCCCTGAGCAATGCTCAGAAGGCAGTAAGAGCAGCACTGCAGCCCTTTCTCTCTCTCGCTGCAGCAGTTGGCTGAAGGCTGTAAGTAGCCTGGCTTTCCGCTGCCTTCTTTCACTGCTTTTCTTTTTCTGATCGTCGGGGTGCTGCTTTCTGGTTTTATTTTGGTTTCCCTTCCCCCCTCTTGTTAAATTTTAGCTAGCACTGAAGTCAGCAAAGTATTCATGGAATAAAAATGACAACTTGTTTCTCTGTTTACTAACAGTAGGTTTTAGCTTCAAAGCACTGTGACACACACCAGCCTTTCTCAGCCTGCAAACCCTGGCATTTCAAATGGAAAAAAGGATAGAAACAAGAAACAATGTCTGAGAAGTCCTGGACTGCGTTATATAGGAATGTCTCCGTGCTCTGTCAAAGCGTCATGGCAGGCAAGACTGAACGCTAGAGTGTGACTGCTTAGAGCCAGCTCACTGTAGCGTGAACAGTCGGTTGGCTTCACATCACCAGCTGCTCACAGAGAAGAGGAAGTTCATTCAGGGCGGGTTGGGGTTCATGTCCTGCTAGCTTCATGACTGTGCACCTTAAGAGAAGGTGATACAGCATAGCAGAACGCCTCTGAAACATGTTCATATCAGGAGCCAGAAAGCAGAGAGGATGAAACCAGAGCCCCTCAGTCCCCAGGGACTCAAGAACATCCTGTTAGACCCCTTCCCAAATTTCCATAGCAACTCCTAGCACCGCTGTGATGACCTTCAGAATTCTCTGGGTTCAGTCAGTAGCCAGTCAGAGTAGAGCCTGAGTCTTGTTAGTTTCATTGAATGCACATGAGATATTTAGAATACAGAGGGAAATTGGTTTGTTGAAGCTCTTGAATGGTAGCTATATGACACACTTCCAACAGGATGATTAAAACTTGGGCTTAATGTATAACCAAGTTTAAGCTCAAAGCCTCTGAAAAGGTGGCCTCTTTTTCTTTTTTTTTTTTTTTCATGTGTAAGACAGTGATGATCTTACAATTGCCCTAAAAACTAAATGAAACGCTGTTTAAGTTTGTAACACTTGTGTTTGATGCATAGCAAGTACTTACGCTAGAGTGAAAACTACTATTTGACATGGGCCTTCCGACTCCCATGTGCTTTTTCAGTTATCATGGTGTATCAGTCATCAGGTATTTCTTTATGCTGGATACAGAGCAAAGCATTAGACTCCAGATGAAAACGCAGTGTTTGTTCTCAGTCGCATCACTAGATCTCAGCACTAGGTGATCTCACTGTTTTTTATGCGTATATTTTTCATACGGTATCCCAGCTGTAGCCCCCCTCCCTCACTCCCTCCCAATCCCACCGTTTTTCCCTCTTCTCCTCCCTGCCCCTCTCCAAGTCCACTGATAGGAGAGGACCTCCTCCTCCTCGATCTGACCCTAGCTTATCATGTCTCATCAGGACTGGCTGCATTGTCTTTCTCTGTGGCCTGGCATGGCTGTTCCCCGCTCAGGGGGAGGTGGTCACTTGATTGTGACACAGTTGTGGTCAAATAAACGAGATGTCTATGAAAGAGATCCCTCAGGGTGTGACTTATACATAGAAAATGAGTGAGGAAGAAGTCTGTGGCCCTAAAAGCTAGAAGAAGAACAGGTGAAACATCCTTGCTGGTCTAGGCTTCTGTTCCCAGAATAATTTGCAGTAGTCTAAGGGAAAGTTAGGTGAGGAACAATGTGAAAGTTAGTGTGTGTATGCAGACGTGTATGTGTGTATTTATGCATGTGTGCATGTATGTGTCCTTACACATATCCTGGTTCATCCTTGACTGTAGCTGCTCTGACGGATGAAAGTGAGCATCATGTCTGGTGAGCAGTGGCTGCCAGCGTGACAGGTAGGTATAAGAAACACAAAGGAAGCATGTGGGTTTGCCTGCTTAACCCATGACTGAAGGAGATAGCATTGACTCTGCTGTCAGCACTGGCCCTGCCGAGGGTTGGGCTCACACATGAGGAATCTGCTGACTTCCTGGGACGCACGTCTTACACAGTCGTCACTTTCCAGGGAGTCAGTGTACAGCACATGGCACCGCCTGCATCATCTCGGGACTCTTTTGCATCTTAGATATTAAAAGGTCAGTGAACAAGCATTGATGTATAATATGTATGGCATACGTAAGAGACTATGTCTAACTAGTTGTGTGTGTAAAGTTTCTGCTTCTTCCGCTGATACCTTCAGTGACAGAGTTGGGAGATAGACGTGCATCTCCAGGACCATCTCGGTATTTGCCCGTGGGTGGCCAGAACTTGGCAGGCTTGCAAGCCCGTACAATAGTCAGTTCACAGGGAACTTCTAGAAGAGAATTAGTCAAAGCCTCTGAGACCACGGCACTGTGGTATGTCTTCGGCTGACTACATGTTTGATTGAAACACCCTTTAGGGATTTTTGACCGTTAGATGCACAGTCACCAGAAAAGGCATGTCCTTACAAAGCTGGCTCTCCTGCTTGAGGCCTGTCCTGGAGTGGACCAGTTTCCCCTGCTTGTGTGTTTGTGGAAGGCTGAGGATCAGCTGTGCTGTGTCAGCTGAAGACCCCTTGGGCTAATGGTATCCCTGAACCATCCACAGCTGATGCTCTCTCAAAATAGCCTCTGCCTAGGAGCCCAGCTGACACTGAGGGAAGTGGCCACCCGGGACTTTGTGACACCATTAAGCAAATTTTCATCTAGCCTTGGTGAGGCGCCAGGTCTTGGAAGGGCAGAAGCTGGTGAACTGGGTAGTTCTTGCTCTCAGTGTGTTTGCAAGTCAGTAGTAACTGGGCTGTGGAGTTCGTTCAGCTCAGAACCAAACCTCTGACACCTTGCGTCTGAGCTTCCCAAAGAGCCAAGGAACCTGGATGAGTTTGTAGCTGATGTTTCCTCTCCTGGGTATTTTGGTGACGAGAGGTGTTGGGAGCCCAATTTCCTGTCTTCCCACTCGTGTCAGGAATATGGACAACAAAACCTGTTTATGATTTCTTTGGATTTCATCTTTTTTGATGTTTTCTACAAGAAAAAATTGAAAACAGGCTACCATTTCTGTAAGGTGAGGAAAACTGGCAGGCCACAAGAATGGCTGGTTGGTAGTTTCACAAGTTAGAAGAGACAAAGGGCATAATGTGGTCCTTGCTTTAGCATAGGCTCAGGTGAAGACTTCAGCCAGCATGGTTATGCTGGCATGAAGAAATTTAGTTGGCTTTGGACATCTGGAGGACACAGAGCTAGGTGGAAGGACAGGCAATGTCAGTAGTTCCAAAGATGGAGCTGGTACCAGGGTAGCTGTTGGGTCAGCTTGAGAGGAATGTCCTACAGTAGTTAATAGAGTTGATGAGCTGCTGTTGGTACATTATTATTAACTAAGTTTTGTGGTTTACTTTGGGCTTGATGCTTTGTGCTGTGTATTCTGTGGGTTCTCACAAGTGTGTCATGAGCTGTGTCTGCTAAGGATGGTACAAGGTAGTTTCACTGAGCCCCAAATTCTTATACATCACTTGTTTCTAATGCTGTGAAGAGACACCATGGCCATGGCAACTCTTATAAGAAAAGCATTTCACTGGAGGCTCGCTGACAGTCTTAGAAGCTAGTCTACTATCATCGTGACAGACATGGTGCTCGAGTAGCAGTTGAGAGCTACGTCCTGATCTGCAGCCAGAGAGTGAGTGTCTGAGCCTAGCATGGGCTTTTGAAAACTCAAAAAGTCCTGCCCCCGTGACACATTTCCTCCAACAAGACCACGCCTCCTAATCCTTTCAAAAGTATAATCTGTAAACACACACACAGACAGACACACACATACACACACACACAGAGATGGTTTGAGGCAAGGAGCCTGGGTCTGGCATGGGCTTTTGAAACTTCAAAACCCTGGTGACATACTTCATCCAACAAGGCCACATCTCCTCATCCTTCTTAAGTAGTTCTACTCGACCATGACTAAGCATTCCAATATATGAGCCCATGGGAGCCATTCTTATTCAGGCTACCACACTGATTTTAGGTCTAAACCTGTTATTCCGGTTCCTTCTCTCTACTTCTTGTGATCAGGTCACCATTTCTAGCCATATTTGGTTCTCATGGGCAGGAATATTAGCGCTGAATGTGATCCAGAACTTAGGTTCCTGACAGAACAATCATGAAGGATTTGGCCTCTCAGAGAAGTCCTGTCTCAGTCACTGTCCTCAGCAGCCCATCTGGATAACTGGTTAGCTTTTTCTGAAGTAGAAACAATCAATGAAGTGATCAGAGGACAACAGGCCTTAATCATGTGTATGAAAATGAAGTCTTTCCCAGTTTTGAGTCATTTCTTTATTAAGATCAAACATTTGGCTAAAGATGAAAAAAAAAAAGGGGCTTTGACTAATAGAACAGTGCCATCTTCTTAGATGCCTTCTTTGTAACTCTGCTTTACGTAAAAAGAACTCTTAATAGGTTTTTCAGAAATGTCCCTTTCTGACAAAAACAGAAAGCGGTCATGGAAAGGCCATATTATACCTCATGGCAAAACATCCAATCTGCTTAGGACAGTTCCCTGGGG